TCGCTGCTGGAGTTGTTTTACCAGCGTCTTTTTGCGAGTTGCGACTTTGTCTTTCATACATCCAGACATNATTCCTAGTTCTAGCAATCTAAGACTAAAACCCTAGTTGAGACGCAGCTCGATAACGAAAACGGAAAATTGCCTAAATGCTAAGTTTGGTGGTGAAAGCTCTGAAAACTCGTGTCCCAGCTTCTGCCCTATGCCTCCTCCTTATATACTCCTCCTTAGGCGGTTTTAGTCTTTCCATTTTGCTCGAAACCGAATATTTCAGGAACTTTCCATATCTGTAAATCCTTCCTTTTCTTCTACGGAAATCTTCTATTTATCTTCAAACTTGCCTTTTATCTTCCGTCTGCGAGTAGACCGTCAAAGCGTTATCGTATCTTCGGGTTTGATTTCGATAACGTCGCGAGATGGGTTTTTATCGTGTTTTAGGACCTTTCGGGCCGTTTTACGATAAAAACCGTTTTACGACTTTAACGAGACTGTTTCCTGATCCGATGCCGTTTTTTTACGATTCTCTCGACGCTTTTTATTAAAAACGCGTTTTTTATGATCTTAACGAATAATCTCGGATAAATCGTATAGTTTAGGCGATGTTCGGTGTTTTGATTAACCGTTACCGTTTTATACGATTTCTTCAAGTTCTTTTCGGGAAAACGGAATTTTACGGTTTTTATCGTAAAACTCGAACGATGGGAAGGATCGAGACGAAACGGGAGACATTTCGACCATGATTCGGAATACGATCGTGTCGAAGGAAGTCTGCCTTGAATCAAGGATGTGGGAGATTGAGGCTCGGGATGGTCGGCTCGACGTACGGCGAGCTAGTTCAGCTTGGCTAGGTCGCCATATGGCGAACTAGGCGAAAAGAACCAGTGGGGCAAAGTCAGCAGCTCTTAGTTCGCCCAATGGCGATCTAGCCGGGACGGGACTAGTTCACCAACCGGCGAAATAAGCCGAGCTGGCTTAGTTCGCCAGTGGGCGAACTAGTCGAGATGGGACTAGTTCGCCGGTGGGCGAACTAGTCGAGGGACTCCTCGTTTGCCGGTGGGCGAACTAGTCGTGACTAGTTCGCGTTTTACGGCGGTTTCGGTTTTTTGCGGTTTTGTAAAACGATCTTCGAGTTTTATAAAACGATCTTCGAGTTTTATAAAAAGAATTCTCGAGTTTTATAAAACGATCTTCGAGTTTTATAAAACGGCTTCTCAAGTTTTATAAGAAGATCTTCGAGTTTTATAAAACGATCTTCGAGTTTTATAAAACGGCTTCTCGAGTTTTATAAAACGGCTTCTCGAGTTTTATAAAACGATCTTCGAGTTTTATAAAACGGCTTCTCAAGTTTTATAAAAAGATCTTCGAGTTTTATAAAACGATCTTCGAGTTTTATAAAACGGCTTCTCGAGTTTTATAAAATGATCTTCGAGTTTTATAAAACGATCTTCGAGTTTCATAAAACGGCTTCTCGAGTTATAAAACGATCTTCGAGTTTTATAAAATGGCTTCTCGAGTTTTATAAAACGATCTTCGAGTTTTATAAAACGGCTTCTCGAGTTTTATAAAAAGATCTTCGAGTTTCATAAAACGATCTTCGAGTTTTATAAAACGGCTTCTCGAGTTCTATAAAACGATCCTCGAGTTTTATAAAACGATCTTCGAGTTTTATAAAACGGCTTCTCGAGTTCTATAAAATGATCCTCGAGTTTTATAAAACGATTCTTCGAGTTTTATAAAACGATTCTCGAGTTTTGTAAAACGATTCTTTGAGTTTTATAAAACGATTCTCGAGTTTTATAAAACGATCCTCGAGTTATATAAAACGATTCTCGAGTTTTATAAAATGATCCTCGGGTTTTATAAAACGATTCTCGAGTTTTATAAAACGGTCCTCGAGTTTTATAAAACGATCCTCGAGTTTTATAAAACGATTCTTCGGGTTTTACAAAACGATTCCTTTTATATTTCTGCGGGGAGTTTCGGCCGTTGATTCCATCGTACCGATTTTGACCCCAACACCCCGGTAGTTTGGTGAGGTGCCAGAGGTCGGAAACTGTAGCTTCCTCTTGAGAGAACATGATGTAGTTTTTGAGGAAAACTGACGAGAGGTCGTGGAAGGTATCGATGGAGTTTTCAGGTAGGCTAGTGAACCAGGTGAGTGCTACGCCTTTGAGGGTTTCAACAAAGAGCTGGCAGAAGCCCGCATCTCGTTCCTCTGGTGCAAAGTTCTGACTTCGCATCGCGACGTTAAAGGACGTGATATGAGTGGTTGGATCTGAGAGACCATCATACGTTGGCAGGCGGAGTTTCTCCATCGGCTTGAGCCGGACGCCGGTAATCTTCTTAGTGAAGGGAGTTCGCAGAGTTTCTGCGAGGACGCTTTCGATAAGCGGGGCCGAGGTCGTGACACCGTGGATCTTCGAGTTTATTTCGAGTAGGGCCTGTTTGAGAGAGGCGATTTCCTGGATGGTTTACAGATCTGGTTGCTGTGCGGAGTCGCCTCCAGTTCTGTTCGGCACGATAGGCTGGTTGGCCGGAGTTGGAGTAGGGTTTGTGTTGAACAGAAATCTGTGCGCCGTCGAGGGGTTTCCTCCGGCGCCGTCGGGGTTTGCGAGTATGGAGGCGATTGCCGCAAGATGCTCGTTCGTCGCCTTCTGAGCCTCGTCTTGGCGAGCTAAGCGCTCCATGATAGTATCGACAAGGCTCGGAGCTAGTGGAGCGGAGGTGTTCTGAGTGGGTACGGGAGCGTTAGCTTCCGCACCGGAGGTCGACTCGGTAGTCGGACCATGGTTTAGTAGACGTTACTCTGTCTTTACCCCACGGTGGGCGCCAACTGTTTGAACCGAGTTCGGTCTTCTTAGTGAGTGAGTGACTGGACTCGTCTGTGGGTTATTTCAGAGACGTTCTTTATTGTTTTGAGTAAAGGAGTCGTTTTATTAAGGAAAGAGTTCCGTGTACAAATAAGGAAACAAAAGGGGTGAAACGGCGTAAGCTCGGAAACTCAGCCGTGCCGTACAAGTCGGAATGTGAATACAAGGATGAAAACCCTAGCTATAGCCGCCTTGTAGTCTAAGTGATTTCGGATCCCCCCCTTTGTTTCCTCCTCCTAGCCTTTTTTAGCGGTGTTTCCTTGACCTAGCAAACTGGTCGCGGGCTCGGAAGCCTTCTAACAGGTGGGCCTTAGTCGGCCCGCTAAGGGAAGCATTTGTCTTAAACGTCCTTAGCTCAGTTGATCACGGGAATTAGCTTAGTTAAGCTCGATTAACTGCTGATCGAGGAGGGATCAACTCGTTTGGCTAGAGCTCGCTTGGGCCGGGCCGATTATTCTGTGGGCTTTGTAATGAAGGATATTCCACCACCTACGGTTGGGGGTCTCTCGCAACGAGTCACGAAACCGAAGCCAGAGATCCTCCATCGAAAGTCGCCGTCATCTCTGTCCCACTCCGACAACATTTCTTCCATCACAGACCCCTTCGATTTCTTCATCTCCTCCGTCACAACTCCTTGGATTTCGGAATCTCTGTACACGAAGAACCCTAGGAAGGTTTATTGCTTTTCAGGTAATTGATTTAATTTTGTTATTAGGCCTTATTTAATTGATTTTCTATTGTTTTGTCAATCACAGGGATGTTTCAGACAGAACATAATTGTTGTTATTATCTATGCTTCGTTAGGAGAGGAGGCTTTGATTTACTCACTTAATGAGGCTGGTGTGTAAAAGTTTGTTTTTGTTACCTTAATAATGGAACTGAATTCAGATTTTTTGGTTACCCCAATTCAGATTTTTGTCTAAAAGTATGTCACCTTGTAAATACAAAAGTTTGTTAGAAATTTAAATTGGAGACGAAAATCTTCTATAAAAAATTACTAGATCATAACCCGCCCGACTGGGCGGGTCTTTGTTTTTATGGTGTATATAAACGTTTCAAAAATTACAATCTAATGGTTCCGATTTTACTAAGTAATAATATACTGTTTAAACATTGTATTTTATCATTGTATTGCGTAACTGGGGTGTCGGTAAAATGTTGTGACCCGTAAATATTTTAGTAATAGTTTATAATGTTTTTTTTGCTAAATTTGGTGCAAAGTTATATACACTAAACAATTTAGTCAAATTTTTAAGTTAATTTTTTATTGAAGAATTAGAAAGCTAGTATTTCACTGTTAAAAACTTATAACAATAGTCAATATAAATTATATAAATAAAATATATATTATTTTTGATTTATTCTAAATAAATTTAAAACACGAATACATATATGTATAAATAATTTCCAGAAATAAAGTATCATCAATGATAGAAAACCCAAAAACAATAATAATGGTACTTTGGGCCGCAGTAATTTTTAATTTAATAAATAAGCCCATTAGATTTGTATGTTATCCATGGTTCCAATCAAACTTTTAAAATTTTCTTACTCATGTTTCCAAATACTTCATTTTGGTACTTCAGCTTTAATAGTATATAAGTCTAACAAAAAAATCTATTATTTATAACAAATCGGCCTACCTCATCGGAATTAAAATCTGTCGTAAGAAAATATCTGCCGTCTATATGAAAGTCTGTCACCACTTTTCCGATAGATATTATTTTCACAACAAATTTATTAAACAGACTTAATATCGGACATACTTTTTTTATTAAAATAAAATCTTCCGACGATGATGTGGCAATGGCACTTTAGTAATTTAGGTTTTTTGTTATAACTATGAATAAAGGTAATTTAAACCATACATATTAATTTTTTTTTGAAATATGAGTTATTCTAGTAATATCTCAATAAATCTGTGTTATTCTAGTAAACTTCCCTTTATTAAAACTCACATCATTTTTTATCTTTGTCTGATTCCGTTTCCATCTTGGCATCGAGTATAGAATCAGGTTTTATTTCAGATTTGGGGTTTGATTTGGTTTCCGGTTCAGCATATGGGTTTGATTGGGTTTCGAGTTCAGTTTGGGGCTCGGTTCGTACTCCTCACATTTTGGTTCATGATAGAACTTAAAAACAATGCATGTGATGTTGGCACTTGGCAGCACTGCCACGAGTGAAGGATGTGGCCGTTAACTTGCGGGCAGCTGCCACAGGCTCCTCTTCGCTCTGAGCAAGGGATATCGCATCATGAATAAAACAATTACATTTCTCAACACTCTGGAAACAAACACAAGAGAATGAATTGATCTGAGTCATACCTCATCCCATAGACCATCACTGGCAAGCACGAGAAACTCACCCTCGTGATCTATCTCTAGATCCTGCAAATGATAACACCGCCAGCGCTTTCAACTCGCTTTCTTTCATTGCTTCTATTAGGCTTATGGTCTTCAGATAGCGCAATCGCTGCAGAACATAAAACACTAAGATTGAAAAGGGCTTCCTTTATGAATAGAAAACAATAAAGGCTTGTTGCCAATCGTAAAACTCTATTCACTATGTACTGAAGGTTAATGTTCTACATCCAAAAAGTTACAACTACGTCACAAAAAACCATAAACAAAATTCTTATAACAAAATATATGTATTTACAATCCTATTAACCGGACTCATTATCTAAATATTTTTTTTATTTTATATAAGTTTTGATGATGTAAATCACGTTTTAGTGGTCTAGTAGTCAAACTTAACCTGAGAAGTCATGGGTTCGAGTACCATTGGGAGGTGAATATCTTGAGGGACTTACGGACCCAATACGGAGAAGCCTGCTAGCATGTGTCCACTGGTGGGATTTACATGGGGTGATCACTAGCCCTCCTGGATGCCTCGGTGGGCTCCCCGGCTAAGCTCTAGTGGACGGTCATTGGCGCTAGTCGGATCTTCTCGAGGCTCCAGATACCAGGATCATAAAAAAAAATTTTGATGATGTAAAATATTCTTAAATTTACAACCAATTAATTTTTTTTTCAGTATTAGAAGTTTAGAACTTTTTTTTTCTTGAACAACCAGTGTTGAAAACTTATAACCATTGAATTTATAACTTTCATTGATGTTTGAAAAATTTCCTTTTCAAATTTTTGTTTCACTTTGTCATGCGTCTGTTTTGACCTAACTTTAACACCGTTACATGTTCTACTTTCTGAAAACCTGCAGTGGAAATAGTGTTAGATGTTTAAAAAAGTGTGTATGAGTAAAGTAATACGGACATCTTATCATTCTAGGTTATTACTCATGGAGTTAGATCTCTAAGATGATCAGATAAACAGTTTGTAACTTTGTATAAAGAAAATGTGTAGCACAAGGGTTGTACCTCTTGGGTTTATGCTTGTATCCACCAACCCGTATATAAATCTGATTTGGAAAATTTCAAGTCTATAAGTTTCATTATAATCTAACAAAGTTTACCCGCCTTTGAGAAAAGTTTCCAAATGTATAATCTCTTTATATTTGGTTATTGTATCTTCTATGTTGCACGTTATTTGGCACTTGGTTTTGTCCCATCTAATTAATTTAAAGTAGCATTTTGACTTGAGACATTTTTTAAATGTTTGTTAACAGGGAATTCTTCTTACGGACTCACCTGTAAATATAGTGAGGTTAGAGTAACATGAGGAAATAAATAAGACACAAATTTTGTTTCTTTTCGAATTCACTAAACTAAGCAAGCTAACATTTACAACCAATCTTTTCTATTACAGGAATTATGATAACTCAATTCTAAGCTAAATTAACTCACCTTAGAGTCCAGATTTTTGTTTACCATGATCATCTAACTACGAGCCAAACTTTCCCTGAGTTTAGGCTTCAATCGTCCAACACTCTGAAAGTACGTCGACAACTACGTCAGCACCTAGTGCAGAACAATGACACCAAAGATTTGATCAAACAACCATTAAACAAAAATCTTTTGACTTTTCTCATTTATGCAGAGACCACTGTTCATGCTGGTACGTCCTCTTTATACAGATAACTGGAACTTGCTCCCCAAGCTTTTCGAAAAGCAACTTAAGCAATTTTTTTAAGGAATAATTCTTGTCTTTTTCTTCTTCAAGTAATATCATTTATCTCTAATATAAACTAGATCCTTTTTCCGCGCTACGCGCAGATTATGTATTTTAAATTTATAACTTATAAATATATGAATTATGTTATTATACTTTAGTTTATGTGTATAATTTTACTTTTGGTTTTAGTAGTCTTATTTATCTCATATATATATATATATGTATATTTTTAATATATTTTATGTTTGCATCACATAATTTAAAATTAACAATAGTTTTTCCTTTTCTATTTTTGCATTTTATACTAATTTAAATTTTGGAAAATTATTTGACCTAAATACTTTAAAGTGTGTAGGTGCTATTTCTTTTTTACTTTTATGCGTTTTATTTATTATAGTAAAGATGATTATTTCACACAAAATATTGATATAGATTTTAAATATTTATCTTAGAACTTAGTATATATTGGTTATTATTAGTATGTATCTTTATTAATTATTTTATTCTTATATCTACAATATTTGGTGTCATATTAAAATTATGTTGCTTTTGACTAATCTAGTATATTTAATTTCAAGAATTGTCTATACTTTATTTCATTGTTTGCCAAAAAACACCTACTATAAGCATATCTCTACTGGATAAAATTTATTATTATTGAAACGCTCATCATCCGTCTCAAAAATATAAGCTCAATTTCCCATACAGGAGGTTTAAACCTGGTGGAATGTCTTATTATTCTAGGGATGGTTGGGTGCTTGCGAAATTATCAACTCGCATGTATTCACTACTTTTTAACCCCTTTACCAACAAGTTATTCTGCTTACCCAAGGAGTCAGTCTATCATTCAAGGTCTCGCCTAGATTTCTCAGCTACTCCTACTTCCACTAGATGTGTGGTGATCTCCTATGCTCGAGTACCTACAACAGAAGATTTTCTGATCGAAACTTGGCGGCTTGGTGAAGACACGTGGACCACCCATCGCTTTGAGAACTCTTTTCGTGGGTGGGACAAATGTGTCTTCTCCAACGGTGTGTTCTACTTTCTCAGTACTTGCGGCTGCCTTGGTGTTTTTGACCCGTGTGAAGCAACCTGGAATCTTCTTCCAGTGAAACCCTTTCTTTTCCCAGAGCCCGATTCTCCGGTCTTCATCATGGAGCATGAAGGAGACATCTTTGTTATGTGTTCACGCCTCAACAGCAACAACCATATTGTGTTTAAACTAAACATGAAACACAATGTATTGGAAGAGAAGAGAGATCTTGGAGGGTTGACTGTATTTGCAAGTGTCCCTGGCTCTTTTATAAGAGCTTGTCTCTCCGCAGAGGAGATGAACAGAATATATCCTTCGTTTACTAATCTTCATTTGATTTTTGGCACAAGCTCTCATCACCCTCCAAAAAACAATTTGTCTTGCCGTGTCGCTTAGTAGAGCCACCTAAAATTATTATTTTCAAATCCGTTTTTATGATTTAAATCATTTTCTTTAGGATCTGTAAAAGAAAAATACAATTAAAAACATTTAAATTTTTTTAAATTTTAAAAAATTAATAAAATTAATATCTTCAAATTTTTTATACTATCTAAATATATATATATATTTGTAATCATAAGAAATACATGTGATAATATTAAAGGAAAGTGACAAACAAATATTTTTTTAAAAAAAAATCTTTTATTTAGGATTTAAAAATGGAAAATTACTATTACATAATAATTCTAAATTATGTTTTTAACAAAAAAATTTTGTCATTATATAAGTAATTATATATATGAAATTATTCAACACATGTCACAATCTTAAATATATAAATGCCATGTGCCGTGGTCATGTTAATTAGTAACTTTGAAGAACCAAGCTTTATATAATAAGATAACAATATTATGACAATTATTTTAAACTACGAAGTCAATATTTCTAAATGTCGTCAATTATGTTGGTAATTATGACAACTTCGTGTTTATTAATTACCTTAATTTATTTGCAAGTTTTATTTATAATTTTCATTTGACTATATATATAATAAAAAGTAACTATTCCTAATGTTATACAAAAATATTTTCAAGCAAATACGAAAGTATATAAGGTTATACAATAAATATGTAACGAATTTAAATTTTATAAACCTTTCTAAAATATTTAGAAAAAAATTATAAAGAGCTAACGTATTTAAGAATATACATTTGTTAGAAAATAAAACAAATAAATTAAAATTTGAGATAAACTCTACAACTAGGAAACTTATTAAGAAAAATTCTTAATAGCATCATTTAAAAATATTCTTATTTTTATCAATTATCCTCCTCATTATGAAGAAATTTTTATCCAAACAAATATGGAAACAAATCTTAATCGTATCGGAATAAAAATTGTGATATTAAAGATATAATCTTATAAAATGAATAGAATGAATATGATTCGGATTATGCAGATATTTTAAAATGATAACAAAATATTATACTTCGATCAAATGCTCAAATGCTTTGGGAAAAGATATATTTTATGGTTTTGGTTAGATTTTGATTTTGATTTAGTTACAAATGTTGTGACCTAGTCTTTACTATAAGGTTGTTAAAATGAACTAAAATCTCGTACTAAATGAGCGTAATACAAAAATGTTGGTATGTGGTCTATTTATTATTGTGTAAAGATAAAATAGCTTATACAGATCACAGGTCTGTTTTGTGGGGTATCTACTCTATCTACTCTATTAAAATAAAGCCATTTTTTTTATCTACTGATACAAGTTGTCATTTAAATTTGGACTCTTTCTAGAATGTTACAAATAATATAAGTCATATAATTGATTGAACCGTATTACTTAAATTAAACCAACAAAATTAATGTAAAAAGACGACCTTAATGTAAACTATCTTCAAAATATGGCAGATATCTATCTGTATACCAAAAATACATATTTTCTCCTACAAATATGGAATGTTCTAAAAGAATATATATCATCAAAATATGGAATATGAAAATCTACTAATTATACTTAAATTAAACCAGTGGTTATTTATGGAATATAGTTTTGGGCTTACTTTTAATTTTTGAACAAATTATATAGTTTGGTTTTTGCGCTTAGTATTAAGAAAAAACTCTTAAAACATTGAATAAAATTTTCACCTTAAAAGATCAAAAAATCAATTATTATTTTCAGACCCAAAAGGTATTTAATATTTTTAACTAAACAAAATTATTCATTATTAATCATTTATTTAAATCATGTACTTTAAAACATGTTAATATTTTTTTTATTTTAAATAACAATCACTTTGTTTTGATAAATTTCAATGGTAATTTTTAAATAATTTATTGTTTTATTTTTCTTAAATAATTTACTAATTAAAAAAATGTAAAGCAAAACCAAAAACCAAATCTAAAAACTAAAATCCAAAACCAAAAGCTGAAAACACATATTATATTTTTTTGCTTTGTTTATTTACAAAATAAACTATTTCAATTTTTTTTTTTTTAAATTTGTTTTCATCTTTTCAGTTTTAAATTAGATGTTCGATTATTTGAGATTTGTTTGTTGGTAATATTTTTTCAAACTAACTCAGAGGGTTTAAAAATTAAAAACCCAAACCGAAAACTGAAAATGAAAAGTAGAAACTTAAAAACTAAAAACCAAAATCCAAAATCTAAAAATAAAAACTGAAACTAAAAACTAATGAAAAACAATCATCACCACAAATTTTGGTGAACTGATTTTATATCATAATATTGTTTAATTTATGACAAAACCCAATTATATAAATTTTTAATCATAAAAATTTTCCGCGCTTTTAAGCGTGGGTCAAAATCTAGTACTTATTAAATAAATGTGTTATTTTTTGGACTTGTTTATGATTTCTTTTTCAAAAAAATATTTTTTCAAAAATTATTATATTTGAAACGAATTTAAAACCTATTAGAATGTGTTGTTATTTTTATGATATTATAAACTGATTAATTTGGATTGGAGAAACTCGTAACGTATTCTCAAGGCGATGAAAGATGCGATTTTTTAATCACGGTGAAGATGGTTTCGATTGGGAAGATCTTTGTGATTCTTATGAATCGAATCACAGAGGGGTTGGATCTCGACAGGATTTGCTGGAAAGGTGGCTTTTGGGACAACGATGTAGATTTTTCTGGGTATTTCTGTAGGAGGTGGGCCGTACCTGCCCTTCAAGGCCCACGAGAAATCACACTCGGCCCGGCAACGGTTGAAGTCAAACCCGAGTGGCGTCCGTACGAGTATGAAAGCGGATTGTTGAGCCGACAACAGGCCCAATACCGGAGGCCCATGAACCGAGAGCGACCTAGGTTAAGACCGAAGAGCTCGAGCTATAAAAGGAAAGAGAGGCAACACAAGAAGGGGATCCGAAATTAGAGTCTGAGACGGCGGCATAGACTAGAGCAAGCAGCTAGATTTATTTCGTTGTCCTTACCGACTAAAACCGAATCTCGGCACGGCTTCCGAACGCCGGGATTCTCTATGTACTCTCTCCGTTTATAAATAAAACCTCCTGTTCACTCGGTTCATTTAGATTCACACCTTTGTAATAACCCACCGACGAGTCCTGTCACTCATTTTACTGATACACGACCGAACTCGGTACAAACAGTTGGCGCCCACCGTGGGGCCACACAAAGTAGTGTGGTAAAAGATGAACGAAGAAACTCCTCCCGACGCGCAGACGGAGGCGACGCCACCGGTTCAGAACCCTGAAACCCTCATGGATTCCGTCTTGGCTCGCCTTGCTCACCAAGAAGAGGTTCAAAAAACAACTAACGAGCACCTTGCGGCCATCGCCGCCGCACTCGCAAATCCAGACGGAAATCTCTCCACGGCTCGCCGATTCCTCTTCAACACAAACCCTACTCCTACTCCGGCAAACCAACCCATCCAGCCGACTGACACACCGGTTGACACCGCTCAACCGGCTGACAACCCAGATCTGCGAACCATTCGGGAGATCGCCGAGCTAAAACTCGCACTTCAAGAGATTCACTCTCAGATCCACCACGTGACGAGTGCGGCTCCCCAGATAGATAAGGTCCTCGCAACCGCCCTCCGTACACCCTTCACTCGTCGCATTACTGACGTTCGGCTACGAATCACGGAGAAAATCCGCCTGCCTACTTTTGGCGGCACTGACGACCCATCGGAACATATGACGGCATTCAACATCGCCATGGGTCGAGCGAACTTCACCGACGCCGAGCGAGACTCCGGCTTTTGCCAGCGGTTCGTTGAGAGTCTCGAAGGAGCCGCGCTGAACTGGTTCTCGCGCCTACCGGAGAACTCCATTGACACTTTTCGCGACCTCTCTACGGCCTTTTTGAAGCATTACATCATGTTCACTAACCAGAAAGCCACCGCTTCCGACCTGTGGAAGCTGTCTTAGTTGCACGGTCAGACCCTGAGAGATTTCATGGAGAAATTCAAGGAAGTTGTGTCCAAAGTAGACGTCCCCGACAACATTGCAGTGGACGCCCTGAAAAACACGCTTTACATCCACTCGAAGTTCCGAGAAGACCTTTATCGCAACCCAACGACTTCACTCCAGGACGCCATCGCACGTTCAAACAACTTCATCCGAATGGAAGAAGATACCAAGGCGATGATAAGTAAACAACACGCGAACAAACCAGCACCGAGCAAGACCTCCGATTCAAAGCAGGAGCCGAGACAACACTCGGCGGACGAAAAACAGTCCAAGAAGAAGAGCTTTGTCTACATGGTAGACGAGGACGCCATCTCCGACTCGACAGTTGTAGTTCGCGCCAAAGGATGGAATCACTATAACCGAAAGGAGGACGATGAATCGGGCGAACCAACGTCCCAAAAAACTGACACCGACGAGCGCAAACCGTATTGCTCATACCACAAATCCAGGGCGCACGATTCGAAGGATTGCAAGCAGCTCAAGGAGCTATTGTTCGGAAAATACTCCCGTGGTGAAATCCCAACAGATCCTCCAAAGCCGCGTCCGAAAGGAAATAATAGCTGGAGCAAGAACAAGGACAAAAGAGGGCAGAAACCATCCGGCACGCCCAGCAAGGCAAAAGAGGACGCATCGAAACCTGAGGAAAAAACCGAGCCCCGCGATCGCGACGGACCGCCCCCCGAGGAGGAACAACCAAAAAATAGGAAGAGGATCCAGGTCATACTGACCGGCCCCGAGTCCTCATCCGACGACGAGAACGAATCCCGAGACCTACGTTCGCTCCTTACCACACGACGCCTGGCCCGCACACCGGATGTCTCCCACGATCTCCGAGACACCATAAATCGTTGCAAAACCCGCCGAATCTCACCAGAAGCGCAGGCTGTCGACCTCCGGGATAAGTTGAATTCCGCTAAGAAAGATCTCCGGGAAACGCTTAACCAATCAAAGCAGCTTGATCTACGCAAGCATTTAGATACGATTAAGTCT